ACAGTGGACTGATGGAAATGTAAATAAGAGTGTCAATGTGACTAAAACAGAGACAAATATTACTAACCTGATTCCTGGTGTCCAGTATACAATAACTGTTACTGCAGTGGCAGATGACAACATTACTGAAGGACAGAGTACATCTGTTACTCTATACACAAGTAAGTTAACACACAGTGCTCATGCTGGACCATGGTTCCTGCTCCGAACCACACTAGCAATATAATATTTTTTCTCATTATGTTATTTTGTAATTTCATGCTTATCTTTTCTAGCTTGTGGATTGATTTTGCTGTTTCCATAATTTTTTTCCCTGTCCTCTCCTCTCCTTTCCTCTGCTCTCCTCCCTAGAACCTGGTAAAATCATGGAGCATAAAGTGAACATAACAACCTTCTCCATCTCTCTGACCTGGAACTCACCTCTTGGTGAGGTGTTTCAGTACAAGGTGGAGTGGCATAATGGTGGATCGCCGATGTCCAGAAACACAAATTCTACCTCTACTGTGCTATCAGACCTGATACCTGGCACCAACTACACAGTCACAATCATTGCTTTTGCCGGAGATAATACATCAGGAGAGCCTTACACATTCACGGTAGTCACAAGTAAGCCACACTTTCTGCATTTCCTTATTCAAAATCTACAATTGTTATAAGAGTCTGTACACATCATGCTTGAAAATGCTGGAAAGCTGCAAACAATATGCTGATTTTATTTCACTTCTTGCATTTTCAGATCCTGCTGTGGTCAGGAATCTCTCAGTCACTGAGGTCACAACATCCTCTGTGTTTCTGACCTGGACTGAACCACAGGGCAATGCTTCCTCGTACATAGTTCAGTGGACTGCACCAGCAGACAGCTTAAATAGCACGACTACAAATACGTCCTTTACTATTGAAGATTTAACACCTGGATTTGTGTACAACATTTCAGTGATTGCTGTTGCTTCCTCAAATATAGGAGAAAGGATCACAAAAACTACCTACACAAGTAAGTCCCTCATACAAACAGTTTAAAGAGCCAAAATTCTGAAGTCAGTCAAGCTGCTGACGTTTGTCACTCATTTATAAAACAGTATATCAACAAAATATGTAGTAATTTGTCTATAACACACTGTAACGTTTTTGTAAGCAGAAATAAGAACATTTATGTGTTATGTAGTATTTGTCAACATAAATATCTTCTATGAAGACAAATTGGATATTATTACAACTGTGTTTTTAATATATTTTTACTCATTATCTGTGTGTTCACCATCCTCCACATATGGATGCCCACAGAAGGAGTTTTTGACATAAATACATTCATGAACACTTTTATCTTTTATGCATCATAGTGTATTACAAAGCATGTATTACTTGCTTATATACTACCTATAAATGTTAAATAGGAGGACTTAAAAAGTGTTGACCCATAGTTATGTTGGGTTTGTCGGAAATTTTGAAGGCAGCTAAGATGTATTGCCAAACCATTATGATGCATGCAGAGCTGTAACAATTAGTTTATTAATCAGTTACTTATTAAACAGAAACTTTGATAATTGAAATTGATAATAATAGCCATATTGATATTCAATCATTCGCTATAGACACTTTACACGCAAAAGTGCCAAACGTTATCTGAGTCCAGCTTTTCCAATGTGAGGATTTGGGGATTTGTTTTTTTATGTGACTGCAATGTTTCCCTGATATTGTAATGATAACTTAAGCAGATGAATTAATAATCAAAGTAATTGTTAGTTGCAGCCCTCTGTGCCCTAATATAGTTTTTCTAGCATTAGTTAATACAGTGTCAGTGTTAATGGTGTTTCTGTATGTTGGCACCATTTTAAAAAAAGTGCTCCTTCTTATACTTCTTTCTTCATTGTATAGGACCTGAAAAGCCTGTGAATATTACGGTTGAAGAACAAGGAACTACTAACCTCAATATCAGCTGGACTTTGCCTAAAGGAAGGGTTGATCACTATGTGGTGAACATCTTAAATGAGGGAAATAATAAAACAAAAGTCAACACGGCTCACATTTCTGGTTTAAAACCCGGGAGAGTCTTTGTCATCACAGTGACCGCTGTGGCTGGAAACTTCAGTGACACGTCTGAGAAGTCATTTATTGCCACTTGTAAGTTCAACTCCTTACTGTAATTGTTTTCATGGTCTTGTTTTTAGATCTTGTGCAGAGTTATACTTCAAGTAATGTTTTGCAAGTGAATGCAGTTTGATGACCAGTAGAAATTTGATTGAATCTTAATGTGATATTTTGTGGCAACACCATGCTAATAAAATGCTGTTTAGCAGCTTTAGTGTCTATTTAAGTGTATAGTTTGTTTTATTTTTAACATTTATAGAGCAATATAAAATAATAACTGTGTGTGTTATTCATAACTCTTAGATCCCACACCTCCTGGTTCACCCACCATTAGCGGTAGGACAAACTCTTCGCTCCGTCTGAATTGGCAGACTCCTGCTTTGATGGAGGACGTTCCAAACATCAGCTACCATATCACCTACCAGCCAGAGGGAGGAGAAGCAAATTCCACCGTCAATAACACAGAGCTGTCCCCGCTTTCCTCTGGAACTTCCTACAACATAACTTTGGAAACAGTTGGACCACACAATTTAAGGAGCACAGTTGTCTTTATTTCTGCTTTCACCCGTAAGTACAACAAGGAGAAGCTGAAGGACATAGAATTGTCTCTATTGCTTGGAGGAATCAAATTCATTTAGCACTTGTTTCACTATTTTTAGAATAGCCCATTGCTATGTCTGGCCAGCAGCAATGAACACTGTACTGTATATTATATAATGGTTATTATTAAGGTGGCATATGTGATGTAATGTGAATCTGTTCTTATTTAATTCCTTCCTTCCTTAATGAACTTTTCCCTTGTTTGTCATTTTCCTAGTTCCCAACCCTGTGTTGAACCTTAAGGCCAGCCCTAAATCCACCACCTCAGTAGAAGTGAAATGGTCATTGCCGCAGGGAGTCCAACAGTATTACAAATACTTGGTTCAACCCTACAATACTATAGGAGTGTTAGAAGGAATAGTTACAGTCAACAGCAGCACTGAAGTACCAAACCTGGAGCCAGGAACAGGATACAGTATCAATGTCACAACAATAGCAGCAGAAAATATTGAATCCACGAAGGAACAGACATTCAGTTACACAAGTAAGGCCTTACATTAAAACACTGCCAATGAATTCTGTACCAGTACACAGTGTATCAGAACATTTAAATGTTCTATTTATTCAAAACAATTAACGATACCACTAAAATGTAAAATTTATTTTTCTACTGTGGTCTTTGGTCTTACACAACCCTCTGCTGTATTTGTTGTAGTGCCCAAAGCAGTGACCAACCTCACAGTGGAGAATGTGAGCACGACATCCATCCGGCTGACGTGGCTCAATCAAAGTGATCACAAGCCTTCCTACTCCTACTGGGTGATAGCGTACCAGGACGGCATTATGGTTCAGAATAAGTCAACTGAGACTACAAATTACACCTTCTTCGCTCTGACCCCTGGAAAATTCTACACTTTTAATGTGTTTACAGTCGTAGAGGGGGTCAAGTCAACGATGACAACAACATCACATTACACAAGTATGTCTTAAGTGTATTTTTTATATATATGATACATTGTCAGAAATTGTAATGTGTGGCTAAAATGCATTGTGTCCGGACAATGACTGAAACACAGTCATGTATTGGTGATTACTTTATAGGGGTACTCCAGCGGTTTAGACTTAAATAAGTTGGGGGACTTAAAATAAATCTAATTCCAGCAGCTGAGGCCGACATAATAGCTTTTAGCCTTTTGTTTGTGTCCATATTAAAAAATGCTAGAGCCTATATTTTCCATAGATTTTTTTGTTTCAAGCCCAGAATAATTTTTTTTTTATAATCGCAAACATACAGCTAGTCATTTTAAGAGGTTTAAAATAAGGCTGCATTGATCAGGTTATTGTTCTTTCATATGGGTGAGTCTAAAGCCACTTTATGTCCCATTCTGGCAACTTGATTCCATATATTAAATTATAATTGTTTTGAAAGATGAGAAAGGGTGTGTGATGATATTATTCTTTTTTCTCCCAAGTCCAGCACAATGTGTAAAGTTGGTGGAGAGCCCCTTTAGAGACAAACTTTTGGATTTTAGAAAAGTTACTGCACAAATAATAAACATGGAAAAATTGCAGGTTTAGAAAACTGTCACATTAACAAGAAATACTTGAATTAAATCTAATTATGGTCACAATGCACTTCTTGATTGCATTTAGAATACATAACAAAATTTCTTCGATCAATGCGTGTTCATTAGCTCTGGCTAAATGCATACTGCTTTTTTTTTTCTTTTTCTACAGTGCCTGAAGTAGTTTCTGACATCACAGCCATAGGAAGCACAACTAACATGTCAGTGAGCTGGACGAATGCAATAGGGCAGGTGGCCTCCTACACTGTCTGGCTATACAAAGAGTCAGACAGCCAGTTTGTGAAACATGTCTTGGATCTGAGTAACTCTACTCGAAACACTCTGTTTATGAACTTGACATCAGGAGTGGTTTACTGTGTGGTAGTTGTCACCAAGAGTGGCCCTTTTGAAAGTAACTCTACAAGTGTTTGCAACGCAACATGTGAGTTACATCAAGATCATGACTTATAAACTTGTGCATATCATATGTACAATATGTATGTACTGTATTTTGACCAATATTTATTTTAAAATTTGCCTGTAGTTGAATCAAACACAAATGAAACAGTATTTCTTGTCCTGTTCAGTTCCCAACCCTCCTGGACCCATCATGGCTTCTCAGACTGTGAATTCCATCAACTTTACTTGGCCGCAGCCAAAGGACATGGACCATCATCAGTACAACTTCAGTGTGTCCACCTCTAATCGGTCCTTTCTGACTGAAAACAACTGGTTCCTGCTGGACAATCTTCTGTCTGGAAGCCCCTACAACATCACTGTTGTTACTGTAGGCGTGTTGAAATATGAGAGCACAGAAGTGACAGCAGAATATTATACCAGTGAGTGTGATTGACACCCACACTGGGGTTATTACTGTAGATAAACTTCCGGATTCTTTGTGGGCCTTTTTTATTTCAGGCAGGTTTTAGTGTTAATTTTACTCTTATATAAACAACCGTAGTCTTTGTTTTATTTATGATAATAACCTTGATGCATGAAAAATCATCTTTATTGAACTGAACTTGAACTTTAACTTTGAACTTTATGAGCCAGATTGGGGTGTGGGTGGGAGGTATCATGTCAATACCATTCAGAAGCACCAAGGGACATATTATGCACATAATTACGACAGCATATTGATTTTCAAATACTAAAAAAATGTAAAAACTGTAATCCCTTATGCCTGTGGGGCGATTTATACAAATCTATGACACGAGAAAACACAACCCTTTTTCAGTATATCCACTGTGTCTCCTCTGTCTCATTTTCTCAGAACCATATCCTGTAACCATGCTGAATGAGACAGAAATTACCACAGATGCAGTGACCTTGGTGTGGGTGCAGCCAGAGAGCAAACCCCACTACTCGTATAAGGTGCAGATCTCCAACGGCTCCATTTTTGCATCTAGGAATGTCTTTAATACCACAGACACAATCACTGGACTTCTCTCAGGGAGCAACTACAGCTTCATTGTCACTACACAGACCAAAGATTTCACTCAGGCAGATCCTGTGACAGTGTCCTACTTTACACGTATGTATATATCCTATCCAGGATACTGTTCCTACATCTGGGAAGTAGTGACATTAATCCCGAACTAGTGAGCAAAACAACCAAATAACAACTAAACACTAACTAAACTAAACAAGTTTATCAGAATATGAAATGTTCTTTATGTTTATTCACAAAAAACACTTTCTGCTCTGTTTGTAGGGCCATATAGTATTCGTTCATTGGAGGTTGAAACTTTAAACACAACTGCTATACACCTGAATTGGATGGAACCACTGGAGTACAAGAATCAATATACATATCGGGTCGAGACTACAGGCTGTGGCTACCAAAACAATTCGCTCACGGAAGACTCACAGATCACAGTCTCAGAGCTCACCCCCGGGAGCAACTGCACCTTCTGTGTGTTTGTCAGGGCAGGGAATGGCATCGAAGGGGGAGCAAGCTGCACTTCTCAGTACACTAGTAAGACTCTTACTTGTCGTTGTCTGTTTCATTATTTCAAATTGACCAGGTGGTTGATCAGCTTTAATTTTCTCTCCTTTGCACATTAACAGAACCTGAGATGGTACAACCCAGTATCTCCAGCCAGGGCTGCAATAGTTCAGTCTGGGTGTCATGGACCAAACCTCTTGGGAAAGTGGAGTCTTATAAGGTTTATCTAAACATAAGTTCTGAACTTTTCGAGAAGCATTTGCTGAGCTCTGAGCTGAACGATACCATGTGGCGATTTGCGAACCTGTCCGCTGGAATGCTTTACTCTGCCAGGGTGATCACTTATAGCGGACCCTTCAACGCGTCATCTGGATTCGTCACCAATGCAACTTGTAAGTATGATACATTTGTTAGATTTTAAAGTTTTCAGTGGTTTCATATTCATGAATTTCCCAAAATATTTGTTTGCATATACTTTTACATGTTTTTAGGTTGTTTTTACTTTTCTTTTGGAGGTCGCCTGTCTTCCAGGCATCCAATAGTTTTTATTCAGTTTACTTTATTTGAAGCTGGCGTGTCATTTGGGAATCCACAACAGGGAAATATTGTTTGTCTTTATTTTTTTATGATCAAGTTTACATGCGTCACTATGTGGTGCTGCAGTACAGCCGATGCTCAAGCCTTGATGGTGCTTTTAAGGTCAAGATGCACTATGGCATGATACTGGTTGCTTCTCTGGCATCATACAGGTCCTTCTGCATGCAGCACTCATGCACAGAAAGAGTATAATAAAAGAAAAACTATTTGACAATTTTGGTGGAAAAATAAATCCCAATAAATGAATGAATAAAATAAATGTATATTGTAGTGAAGTGAAAGCGAGGACAAATAAAAAGTTACGGAATGACTTGATAAAAGACCTGCAATAATGTGAAATCTATGTGTGTGATACTTGATAGAAAAGACTATGAATACAGCCCTTAGGCATTCATATTTTAGTGAGCAATTGAAGGTTTTTTAGAATGATGTTACTTGTTGAAGTTCACATTCTGCAAACCCCCACCACCAGTCCCTAATCCTCCCGGGCCAATTGAGATCCAGAAAAAGACGAACAGCTCCATCGCCATCAGCTGGAAGGAAGCTCCTCTGATGACCGATGCATCATTCCGCTACCACTTGACTAACACGCCACCCCATGGAGACGAATATGACTCTACCATGAACACCAGTCATACTTTTTCCTCCCTGCTTTCTGGGACTCCCTATAACATCTCCGTGGCAACAGTGGGTGTCATGGGTTTTGAGAGTGAGAAGGTTCAGATCTCCATGGTCACCACAAGTAAGGGTTTTATTTCCGTACCCGAGCAATGTGCAAGCAAATGCACCTTTCTGTTTTATCTTACGTCTGTGAAATGTCTTTTAAACATTTAGGACCGTTCAGTGTGAAGAATATCAGTACTTCTACAGAAGAGGGGAACATCACGGTCATGTGGGGCAATCCTGACCAATACAAGGAAAGCTATCGTTACAATGTGACCTGGCAAAGCCCTGATAAGGACGATACTAACTCAGTACTAATTGAGGGGACTGCACATACAATCAAAAACCTGGTTCCTGGGAGCCCATATGGCTTCAGTGTTACCACAGAGACGTCTGATAGAACAAACGGGGAACCAAGTTGGATATCCGACTGCACAGGTATGGTCATAACAGATTGATTAATTTCACATGGGCTGCAATCAAATATTTTCAAATAACTTGTGTCTGTGAGTGTACCATGAATTTTAAGATGTAATAAGGATTTAGTAGCTACTTAGAATTATTTATGAATCAAAAAGTTAATCCTTAGTACGGTTAAGCACACCTAGGTTGATGACAGATGGTCACATTTTATTAAATAATGGAAAGGACATTACAGCAAAGATATGTTTGGTCACAAGTTTTAGATCACCTGAGGACACTGGAAAGAAAAAATCCCAATATACTTTTATATAATGGACAGTTTTATTCATGTTTTTTCTTGACATTGATATCTGTTTGATGCTGCAGATGCAAGCCCAGTGATAAATTTAACATGCGATGGTCCAAACAAAGCGAACGCAGAACTCAACCTGCGCTGGACCACTCCCAATGGCAATCACACTGGCTTCCAGATCAGTTTAAACAACAGTATCATCAACTCTACAAGCCTCTGTTGTAATAACATTGTGTCCAACCTTCGTCACTACACTGAGTACAAGGTGGTTTTGAAGACTCTGAGCTGTGGAAAACCCAGCACTGCTGTGTCTCTATTCTGCATGTCAGGCGTTACAAGTAAGACATTATGCTTTGTTTTTATTTTTGTATTTCATTTAATTTTTATTTAATCAGGCGAGTCATGAACAAATAATTTACATTTGAAGCCTGTGAACATTAGAATTGCAGTATAAACTAACATGTTCAAACATATTTAAAAGTGTTACATACAGCAGCTTTCTTTTTTTATATATATATTTTTGCGATATTTTAATGCAAAACTTACTCAAAATCCAATCTTTTCTCATTCAAGACCCACCTATTCCAACTGACTTACAAGGACTGCTGGACGAGAGTGCAAAGTTATACAACAGGTTCTCCATTGAGATTTACGGCACACGGCTGAACAGCACAAATGGGCCAATCACAAATATTGGTGTGCTGGTGACAGATAACGATGGTGAGTTTTTTTTCTCTCCTTACTGTCAAGAAAAAAAGGAATTTTGTCATAGTGGTAATCTTTTAGTGCTGAAAGTGACCATTTATTTCTGCCTAGTCTAAGTATTTATAACTGACTTAGACTCATGACTAGAACCTCCCTGTCAATTAAGCCAACTGCTGTTTTTGGTACTTCCTGTTCTTCCAGTGGGCACTTCTAATTTGACAACGTACTTGGGGAATACTTATGAGCAGTGGAAGGCAAAGAAAACTTCAGGATACCTGGCAACAGTCACAGACACCAACTCCCAGACACGCAGTGGAGAGGGTACTGTCAGCATACACGTAGGAGATGAATCCAAATGGGAGGGCTACACCAATGGCCCTCTGGACACTGGAAAATACAAGTAACAACACAAACCATATTGTTTATGAATGTACTATAATAATAGTAACTTGAATAGAATAACTTGTCAAAATGTTTAATGGCTTGTTGCTTTCTTGATGGGTTATTTAAAACTGATTTTATTCAATCTTGCAGATATGCTATTGTGTTGTTCACATATCTGATTCTGAATAACAAAGACGTCAATATTCAAGAGTCAGTGTTCTCAATAACACCCGTGTACCAAATTATACTGCCAAACAACCCAGGTAACCACACTCAGAACCAAAGTTGTTTTGTTTTAAATGTTTTTGCTATGCAATACAATGTGAGGAAATGTTAATCAATCTTTTATTTTGTCTTTGTGAACATTTTAGCCATTGTCACTGGCATTGCTGTCGGAACAACATTGGGAATTTTTTGCGTTCTCTTCATCATCCTCATCGGCTTCATTATCTACTGGAAAAGGTTCGTCATTGTCAGCACAAATGAAAATTAGCATTAGGTCAGTGTGTACAGGACTAAAGTCACTGTTCATGTTCTGTAGGTTGTCCCAAAAAGAATCATCAGACATCGAGATTCATGCCATGAGGTGAGTGTTTCATTTTGTGTGTGTTTTTAAGATTAAAATAAATTGATAACAATTGTGTCTATAACTGTGGTTCATCTTTGCTTTTTCCTGTTTCTTTTTACAGAGCCAAAGTGTAAGTATAGATCCATTTTAAATCATAAAGTATGATCAGATCTATCAAATGTAACGCATTATGATAGGAACAGACTGAACTGTACCACAATCCAGGTACAAATCTTATTGCTCTTGTCTGGTGTCCATTTGAGCAGAAGTGTGGCTGTGAGGGTGGAGGACTACGAGGCGTACTACAGGAAGCAGAAAGCAGACTCCAACTGTGGCTTTGCTGAAGAGTTTGAGGTAAAACATAAGCATAATATCAAAGGGCTTCTGATAGAGAAATTAGTTATTCATAGCAGGCAATTTAAGAACAATGTCCAATATATTATACAGTTTATTCTACAGTAGATAGATTTCATTGTCTGATTTAATAATTCTGATAATGTTAACATCTATCTTTTGTGATCACTGAATGAAGCAAATGTACAAAACGTGATTTCAGTTGAGCCTGGGAAGCTTGCAAGGATTCGAATGTGGTAGAAAACATTAAGGAATCGACAATACTCGACAATGTGTTGCCAAAATAATTAAGAGTATTGAATTGATTTGTGACCATCTTCTTTAGACACTTGGCAGAGCAATGTTTAGAAATAAATAAGGACTAGTACAAATTAGGCTGTTTTTTTCTTTCTTTTTTTTTTGGTACTGCACATGTACCAGATTTTGGGCAAAACATGAGCCATCCAATCAACAATCACACTTTTCTTTCCTCTCCTATAAAGGACCTGAAGCCTGTTGGTACAGGCCAGTCGAAAACAAATGCTCTGACTGTGGATAATAAGCCCAAGAACCGCTACAACAACGTGCTACCCTGTGAGTCACCTTATCAAATCCACCTCTGCTGCTTTTAACAATAACACTCCTCACTCTTTAAACTGTATCATCGTATGATCATTATCGATCATCAAAATGATCATACATCTTTCCATTTCATTTACTCTATTTTCTCACTTCCTAGATGACTCTTCTAGAGTGAAACTCTCTATAATCCATGGGAGTCCATATGACGACTACATCAATGCTAACTACATGTCGGTGCGTACTGACAATCACTGCCCATTCTCTTGCTTTAATACCATGCTATATAACTTTTACACCATCATTCACATCGATGTTCGAAACACTTGAGAATCTCCTAGAAAACTGAACAGGATGGGTTTTTGTGTTCTGGGGCTGAGCTTATGTTTTTCTTGGCAGGGTTACAACTCCAGGAAGGAGTTTATTGCAGCTCAGGGTCCTTTGCCCACCACAGTCAACGAGTTCTGGAGGATGATCTGGGAGAAGAATGTACAGACTCTGGTCATGCTGACACGCTGTAATGAACAGGGACGAGTGAGTACCATTGCAAACACAACGCCTAGCAGCAACATGTTGACGTACACGGGAGCGCAATGTCCTTCCTGGTGCTAGTCACACTACTGTTGTGGTTGAACGCTGGATATCTCATCCTAAATGCCACCAAAATGACCACTAAAATGTCAAACCAGATAATAAAAGAGAGAATGATATCAAAATAAATGTCCAAGTTTCACACAGTATATTGTATAAGGAAAAAAATAGAAAATGTACCTTCTAATGTTTACAAAAGATGTTTTTCTAAGTAAAAGCTGATCTGATTGACACAAACTGCTTTATATTACATATACACCACCAAAGTATCAATATGTCTGTGTTTGATCGCAGTCTGTCACATGTGAACTTTTTTTTTTTCAGGTAAAATGTGAGAAATACTGGGATTCTGGCACCAAGCATTATGAAAACATCACTGTGACAACAACCTCTGAAATACCACTTGAAGACTGGACCATCAGGGACTTTGACATTAAAAATGTACGTGGTGAGATGTTACATTTGCCAAGGAAAAAAATATTTTTAGGAGGGTAAAGATCAACAGTGTGTGTCAGTAAAAGTCATCAACCATCAGTGTTTGTTTAACACCTTTAGTTTGAAGTACTTCTATCAGCTCAATAAGTGAATAATAATAATTAAAACTTTTATGCATTCATACATCTTCATTTCTTAGTCACAAATATTTTGAGCTTGTGTGCATTTTAATCTTTCAGGTGAAAACAGCAGAGACCCGTACGGTGCGCCACTTCCACTTCACAGCCTGGCCAGATCACGGAGTTCCAGAGACCACCGAGCTTCTCATCAGCTTCAGACATTTGGTCAGAGAGCACATGGACCAGTACTCCAGGCACTCCCCTACTGTGGTCCACTGCAGGTCCGACACAACACGCACACTTTTGCCCTTAAATCAAAACTGCTTTGAAAAAAAAAAAAAACTATGAATCTGATATTCTGTCTTTCTCTCCTCCCTCCCCTGTCTGTGTGTCTACGTTGTCTGCTCTCAGTGCTGGTGTTGGGCGCACAGGTACCTTCATAGCCATTGACCGATTGATCTTCCAGATTGAAAGGGAAAATATCGTGGACGTGTATGGCATCGTTCATGATCTGCGCATGCACAGGCCCCTCATGGTGCAGACGGAGGTAGGACGCAGTCACATACACTGGTTTCTGTCACAATTGTTTTTTTGTACTATACGTGTTGTTTGAAATGAAAAAAGTACTCTACAGCTGAGTGTATTTAATGTCTCTGCAGGATCAGTATGTGTTCTTAAACCAGTGTGCCATGGACATCATCAGATCAAGAACTGGAACCAATGTGGATCTAATCTACCAAAACACTGCTGCACTCTCTATTTACGAGAATGTTCAACCAAAGAAAGATTCTCCCAAAAGTGGGTACCATGCATAGGCCTGAGGTCCTCTACTCTTTATTCTTAGAAAGAAACTGAGCAGACATTTGTAAAGGGAACGCCTTTAACAGATTGTGCTGTATTTATTTTTTATACCTGTCACGCTTCTGTTAAGGAACCTTGTAGCTTTTTTCTGGATTTAAACCTCTATTTTGTGGTATTTATTTGTTAGAAATGTTGAATGTTTGATAAAGGATGGGACTGTATGTGGAGATACAATAGAAGACATAATCAATGACCAAAAATATTTGGATTTTAGATTTATATGTAAACTTAAACTTGGATTCTCTCTTATTAATGCAGGTTTTTTTATTGCTCAGTTTTTTTTTATTTCTGCTTGTTTACTACTGTATATGACTTACTGATGATTATATGTTTTGCTCAGGTAATATGTTGGATGCTGTATAGGTATTATTACAGACACTTTGATCAAAGAAAAGTTTGTAATTATTAAACCTTTGGAATTGCCTTATACACAAAAAAAATGCTGGTATGAATACTGTGTGCCTTATCAAAACCTGTATGCTTTAGTACCAATAGGTGGCACTCCTTTACAGAAACAAGAAATGGTATATTACCTTGTTATAGGAACCTTAAGATTACCATTCTTAAATATAGCATATTTTATTGAAGCTTTTCAGATCATCCAGCCAATTATTTTTACACCTCTTAGGACAATTTGAACTGTGCAATGTCTTTTGAATGAAGGAGTTTTGTTGTTTGTTGTCGCGATGTTTGTATTCGTATGCACTGTAGTGAATAATGCACTGGATGCATTTGTCTTTCTACACTGTCCACTTTTTTTTATTATAATTGTTGATTACATTTTGGCCAGTGCTTTGTGATACTGAGACATTTTGCTATTCACTGCTATTCATTGTTACCTAGATTCTTCATTTTAAGATTAAAGAGATGGGTCACAAACAAACTCTCAGGAACTCTAACAATGAAAGCTGAACCTTTTTACTGGAAGGTATGGTGTTAGGAAACCTCAAACTGCACCAATGTGTGCTTTGATGAACTCGGAGGTCACATCCATTGTTTTTTGTTTTGTTTATGTCCTTATTCTTTGCATTGTACATTCCTCAAAGTAACAGCAATGTTATGTCACTTCCTGCTGCATATCTGGTCTATCTATGGACATTCCCTGTGATGTTAAAATCACCAGAGGAGCACAAGCTTTATTTTTTAGCTTCAAAAAGGGCACAGTCTTGAGGCAGGTACTTTTTTTTTCTCAAGATAATTGATGTGTGTGGTTAGCCTGTAGATATTTTTAAGACCATGTTTTATGTTTATTGAATAATGCTGTACCTAATGATTAAAAAGCACTTATGTTGTTGTCACACAGTTTTAGGATGTTGTTGCTTTATGAAATGCTTGCTGGTACAATGCAATAATGTAAAAGAAGCAAAGAGCATTTAATAGTTGCATACCCTTCGATCTGTAAAACAAAATGGGATTAAAAGACGTTATCACATTTTACCCCACATTTGTGTATGACTATGTTGAATCAGCGTGTGAGTGAGTATGAGTCCTCAACATCTTCTTTTTACTCTCACCATAATGTTGCAATCATGATTTTTGATAACGTCACAAATCTCTCAGCCGACGCCACTCATAGAACATTCTAGTTTTTTGTGTTGTGTAACATTTCCCAAGCTACTATCATTCAAATCACACGTTGCATCCTATGTCTCACAGCTATTTTAGTCGCTGCCCTGCTGATAAATTATACTAATAATTATTCAGATAGTTTCTGAATTGTTTCAGTCAAATGGAAAGATCAAAAGAAGCAAACAAATAGCGTACGCTGCATGCTGCAGAGGAGGACTGAGCTGGCACACCTCTGCATTATTCAGAGCAACTTTGAGGTTGCAGGTAGCTAAGTGCACCCTCAAAGGATGAATAAATAATGTCATTTCTGTTTCTTACTTCAGGAGGAAAAAGCTTTTTATGCGGAGACTTCAAAAACTTCTAATTTTACAGCTCACATCAGGCCTACACTCGGGGGATATTGTACAATATACAAGTGTTTTTATGGGCAATCATTTTCGCACAGTACAGGGCTGAGTGGTAATATAAACCTGATATTTCTCACATCTTATGCAGTATGCCCCCTCCTTTCCCCCCATTTCTCCATCTCTCTCCTCCACTCCTCCACATCATCCTTGTTTCATGTCTCTCCTATCCAAAAATCGGATCTAAAAATAGATTCTGCATTTGAATGCATCTTTCTAGTTTCCTATGCTCTGCGTTGCAGTGAAAAGTACACACAGACAGCTGGAGCTGTTATAACAGCCGTTCAACCTGCAAATACTAAATTAAAATAGGACAAAAGATAACCGGGGTGAGCCAAATTTAATGATGAGCTCAAATGCTTGTGTGCCAGTAAATCCACCATAATGGATTACACCGGGATATTTTAGCTACTGATTGAGGCGACCTTTTTTTTTTTTTAGCTGCATTTGAAAGCATTAAAATGAGGATTTGTGTCATATTATAGTAAGTGGAGGAACACACAACCACATATCTGTTTGGGGGTCCTGCCTGCCTTGACCTTCTTTAAGTTAAAACCTGTAAAGTGTCTTTGAGACCCACGAGGAGTCTACTGTAGATGGTGGCTGTTGATGTGTGGCCTGCACTGCAATATTATGAAGCTCTCACTTGGCTGAACATCATTTAAAAAGTGTGTTTAGGTCAGCAAAGCTTTGATAGGCGTTCAGGTTGTAGCAAGAAGACACAGCAAAGACACATTGTCCCAGCAAATTAAAGCAAAAAGAGAAGGACACATCAGGGAGGGAAGGAGTGTGCTGAGGTAACAATGAAATACAAGTGGTAAAAAGTAAGTACATTTACTCAAGTACTGAGCTGAAAGTAGAGGTTCAATGTCCAATACTTTCTGAGAAACACTTCTCAGCTTGACATTTTCTTGTTCTAGTTGAGGTGATAACATTTTTGTTTTTATCTTGACAAGTCGTAAATGCTTTTAAACACTGACAAATACTTCTGTGCTTTTACTTTAAATCAAAACAAAAAAAATCTCCACGGTGTGTTTATCTGCATTAGAGCCATGCAGCAGGTGTTGTACGCTGCTGCGGCCACAGGTGTCGCCCGGCCTCCCTGTGTGTGTGTGTGTGTGAGCAGCAGTCAGATGAACCGCAGCAGCAGCGGGAGGAGGAGGA